ATTCTAACCTGAATTGAAATTAAAATTAATACTTTAACAATTCTGTTTTGCAGTGTTAGTCAGTGAGTGACTGGCTGCTCCCGTATGGGATTAGAACGATGCCACCTTATCCCATAGTCCAGCCAATAATGCGATTCACATTCGTATATACGCAGCTAATCAACGTCGTTGACAGGCTATGACTAGATTAGGCTTTTTAAGGAGAGGTTGAACAACAGCGTGCTTGAAGGGTGTTGGAAAACAACCAGAACTGAGGCAGGCATTGATCAGGACCAGAAGGAACGGTCCGACTGAGTCCAGAACCTGCTTCAGAAGCCGAGAGGGGATAGCATTGGTGGAACAGTTGGTAGTCTTAACCTTGCAGATTATTTCATGCAGCTGAGAGAGAGAGATAGGTTCGAACTGATTAAAGGCAGAATGGCACAAAGATAAAACACAGGGATTGGAAGGTGAAGATGGAATGACAGACTGCAGGGAGGAAATCTTGTTTACAAAGAACTTTAGAAAATCATTACAGAGGGTGGCAGAAGGTGTGAGGCTGGTGGATGTGTAAGGATTTACAATGGAATTTAAAACACGAAACAGAGTCTGAGGTTTATGGACACTACTGCTAACCAGGTTTGATATGTAGGAGGACTTGGCCTCTTTGACGGCTTTCTGATAGGTTGAAAGAGAGTCTCTGAGGATATTAAAAGAAATGTGCAGCTTGTCCTTTTTCCATTTTCTCTCAGCACACCTACAGGTGCGCCTGAGAGCACGAACAGAGTGTGTAATCCAGGGTTCAGCGTGAGCTTTGGGACGGAGTGTTTTTAAGGGAGCGATGAGGTCCAAAATAGAAGTACATGTTGAGTTAAAAAGAGCAGTTAAATCTTCTGCACACAAGGAACCAATCCAGTCCGCCATGGAGAGCTCAGAGTTGCTAAAAGCAGCAGAAAACTGAGATGGTACATGGGTATTGATGATCCGGTGACGGCGTGAAGGAGGTTTAACTGCAGCATCAGAACAATGTGCAGTGGCAGAAAATAGAACAGGAAAATGATCGGAGATACACGCACTCTCACAAATTTCAGAGATGTGGATACCCAAGCCGTGAGACATGACAAGGTCCATAGTGTGACCCTTCTCATGTGTGGAGCCAGACACACACTGAGTAAGGTTGAAGGAATCCAACAGTGAAACAAAGTCTCTAACCAGGGGTTTAGATGGACAGCACACATGAATATTCAGGTCACCAACAATAAGAAATTGATCAAAATCTACTGAAAGTCCTGAAAGGAATTCCCCAAACTCACTGATAAAGTCCTTGTTAAATTTGGGAGGACGATATACCACTGCAATCAGTAACGGAGTGGATAAGTTTAGTTTAAAAAGCTGTAGCTCAAAGCTGGAATAAGAGGAAAAAGAAATCTGATGGCAGTCATAATCAGATTTAAAAACACAGGCGAGGCCTCCGCCTTTGCCAGAGGACCTGGGAGTGTTTAAAAAACAACAGCCTGGAGGAAGAAGCTCAGAAAAAGCCACAGTCTCACCAGTGCGTAACCAGGTCTCCGTCAGGAACATAAAATCCAAGTCGTAAGAAGAGAAAAAATCCTTGAGCAGAAACGTCTTATTGGAGAGGGATCGAGTGTTGATCAAAGCCATAGATAAGGTGAGATCAGTAGCTGTCATCGGGGTTGATATGCGGGTGAGTGGGCGTAGGTTAGAGTTTGTAGCACCAAATCTGCGGATCCGTGGCTGTAGGAGAGCAGATGACCGAGGACCCGGAACGGAAACAGCGAGCGACGGACCCGGAGAGTCACGCAGGAAGGGAGCAAACACCAGGCGAGGGCCGGAGATGGCAGAGAGTCGCCTACCAGAGGAGAACGGCGCCGCCGGCATGGTGAGGAGTGAGCCAGATGACCGAGGGAGGCGCGGGCCAAGAAGCGGGCCTACCGGTAAAGCCGGAGCAACAGCAGGCGGAGTTTGAGAGACGGTTTTCACCCAGGGTCCTCTGGGCTGGAGTGAGCCCCTCACCGCAGCAGAGTAGCAGAAACCCATCTGAGCGAGGGGAGGATCAGCCAGGCAGGAGAGTGATAGAAATGCCTTTGTGCGAGCCAGGAGACCACTTCGCTTCCCTCGTCTTCTCCAACGTTTTTTTCGGTGTAGCTTGGGAGGGAGGAACCAGGTGCGACGTAGGTAAGGTGGAATACCATCGAACAGTGGAGGCACACCGCTTGTTTGTCCATCAAAGACAGAGGACAAAGGTGCTGACACTGCTGAGTCTCGAATAATAAAGAGAGTTTGCCGGTCATAAGTCCGGAGCGAGTTGATTTCCACAGTTAAGGCAAAGAACAGCAAACAAAAAACTAAAAATCAGGAGGAGGAGTGACGGCGAGCCGAACATACTGGCGCCATCTTGTCTCACGACAAAGTGCTCTAATGGGGTGATATGGTCCTATAAGGTCATTAAGATAAGACGGGACCTGATTATTTAAGACCTTGTATGTGAGGAGCAGGATTTTGAATTCAATTCTGGATTTAACAGGGAGCAAATGAAGGTTCCTGATAGCTGACTTCACAAATATCGAAAGGGGACCAAAAGCATTCATTATCTTAGGTACATGTCTGTCAGGAGCACATACGAAGAATTCAGATTCAAACATCTTGGGGCTTAAAAACAAAAAGTATAACTGGATGTCATTTGCATAGCAGTGGTAGCAAATGTCCTCAAAGGGGCTCAAAATATGCTGGAGAGGAAGTAGATGTATTAAAAACAATAAAGGCCCCAATACAGAATCTTGTGGCACACCGTAGGTGAGGGAAGTACTTAGAAACTGCCACAGAAAAGTATCATTCATACAGATATGAGTAGAACCACTTTAAGGCAGATCCATATACACCGACCCAATATTTCAGCCTTTCAAGCAGAACGTGATGGTAAGCTGCATCAAAGGCCAACTTGAGGTCCAACATCAGCAGAACAGAACATTTTCCCGCATCGTTTTGCATCAAAATGTCACTGGAAACTCTAAGAAGGGCTGTTTCAGTAGAATGAGCTCTGCGTAAGCCAGACTGAAATTTGTCAAGAATATTGTGTTTATCCAAAACTGCTGTAAGCTGCTTAGCCACAACTTTTTCACTGAATGTATCACAAACCTACTGATTGGCAAAATCATGGTGCGTTCACTGACCTGCTCCCAGCCCTCCGTGCTCTGCTGGGTACTGCACCGAGAGGCTGAGCTGCAGGCCCACCTGAGTCTTGCCGGTGCCACTCTCTCCAGCCAGCTCAGTGATGCCCCCCACAGGCAAACCGCCCCTCAAAAGGCGGTCCAGAACTGGACAGCCGAGCCTGAGCTGGGCGCCAGACACGCCGTGCTGCAGCTGCTGTGCTGAACACATACACACACGCACATACTTGGTTAATGCATGATATCACATCACACAGTGTGTCCAGTAAGACTCTTCTCCTGACCTGTGATTGGAGGGTGCCTTCTGCAGACGGCAGCGGCAGCAGTGATCAGCTGCTGGACATCAGAGTTGGACAAACCGGTGAGTCTCTGCAGGTCTGGAGCAGAAGCACAAACCACATCCTTCACAGACATTAGCTGAACTGCAGCAGGAGAAGCACAAGTGGTTACCATGGAAACAACCACAAAAAAAGGAAGTCCAAGCAATTCATCACATCTCTGAATCTTTGGTGTTCACTGTCTAATCTGTAATAATCTGAATGGATTCTTAAAAAGAGCCAGCTGTCTCAGCTAATTACAGCTAATTCCTTTCATCTTAAACATTCTTGAAAGAGTAGTTGTCAAACAGCTAACAGATCATCTGCAGAGAAATAGCTTATTTGAAGAGTTTCAGTCAGGTTTCAGAGCTCATCACAGTACAGAAACAGCTTTAGTGAAGGTTACAAATGATCTTCTTATGGCCTCTGACAGTGGACTCATCTCTGTGCTTGTCCTGCTAGACCTCAATGCAGTGTTCGATACTGTCGACCATGATATCCTATTAGAACAATTAGAGGATGCTGTAGGTATTATGTAGGACTGCTTTCTTCCATTTGCGCAATATCTCCAAAATTAGAGCTACCCTGTCTCAGAGTGATGCTGAAAAACTAGCTTATGCATTTATTACTTCTAGGCTGGTTCATTATTATGAAGATGTAGCAAAAACTCCCCGAAAATACCTTCAGTTATTTCAAAATGCTGTAGCAAGAGTACTGACAGGGACTAGAGAGAGAGAGAGAGATTAGTCCACACAGTTATAATATTTGGAATAACAAGGATATCCTATATAAAGAAAACTTTTTTCTTAGATAGTTGGTTTAGGAACAACATTATTTTAGTCAACCAATTATTCGATTCAAATGGTATGCTTTTCTCATATGACGAATTTTGTCTACATTTCAATTTAGCAATAAATCATGACAATTATATTAAAGCATTTGGGTCTATACCTTCAGGGGTTTGTATGCTTTATAAGAATATACACTAATATCCCTTCATACCACAGGCCACTGGCATCTCCAATACAAACTGTTGTTGGTAAGACTTCTGGCAGAGATTATGTGTTTTTATCTCAGAACATGTATTTAAAGGATTTGCACTGTTCTGAAACTATGTATTATTTGGGCTCCACAAAAACTAAAGACAATTACACATTGATAACAGGTATATGATTAACTTGTTAATCTTAAAGGTTAAATTTCATATTCACAAATCCAAATGTTTAGGGAGACATCCCTCCTTTTATGTATACTCCTATGAGCTTTTATAATATCTAAATTCAATTAAGAATTCTACTAACCCCAAAGGCTATGGTTGTATGTGAAAAAATAAAGATCCTCCAATCTTTACTCTTTGGCTTAATCAGTTAAACTTCTCCCCTTAGCGTTCCGGTATGCGTATTGTAGGTTCTGAAAAATGGTCGATTGTTTGTTTGTGGTTTACAATTTCTTTAAGTACAACACCTTCAATGTAATACTGTTTTAATTCTACTTTGTACTGACCTTTAAATAAAGGTTTAAAAAGAGAGAAAAAAAAAACTATAGAGCAGGGGCGGAGCGTGGGGGTGGCTTACTGGGCTTAAGCCCGGGTTGTTTTGTCAGAAGCCCGGGGTCTTTTGGAGTGTAATTTTTTCATAGTTAGATGCCTGGCTGACAACTGTATAAAACAAAAAGTATACACAATATTCGAAGCACATAGTGCACACACTGTGGGAATTTACGACTGTGTGTGAATCCCCCCGGATATTGGTATGATCCTAGCTCAGGCACTAAGCCACTGAGCGAGGGGGCGGGGCAGCTGCTGCCAGTGAGTGCGCTGTTGGAGAAACGCAGCCAGCCATACTAAGGAGAGCTCAAGTTTGACCAGGTACCAAAGCAAATCATTCGTACTGTAGAAATAATGTAAATATGACGGTGAATCACGAAAGATTGATATCAAACTGATCACTTGACCAATATTACGTTACTTGCTCTTCAAGTGAATCAACAAATGGCGAAATGAAAAGCCGAACAAATGCTATTTTTTTAGAGAGTCTTAGCTTACATGCGTTTATTTCATATTTTCAGTTCTTACCCTCCCTGACTAAATCGGTTTCAGCTATGTACTGAAATATAAGAATAGACATTGGAGGCTTCTTTCAAAGAAAAAAACTCAGGTAAATGTTATTTTATATGTTATGCTTTGTATGTTGTTCAGTATATTTCTATGCAAAAAAGAGGGATTTCAGTACACAGCAGGATATTCACATTTGTAACCAGATATTTACATACACTTTAGGGAGAAAACATAAAACATTTTACTGTACAACATCAATTTAGAGTAAACTTTTGTTTTAGATAAATATTGAAATATCTTTTGAATTAGTTAAATGTCAGAAGAAAGAGAGACATAGCTGTCTATTTTTTTTTATCACTTTCATCAAATGTAGGAGTACATGTACACTAAGTTTATTGTTAATTAATAAGAAAACTCCAGACGATTCCATTCTGAGCTGAAGAAGCTTCTGATAGGTTAGTAGAGTCCATGTGAGTAAATTGGTGGCACAGCTGTGGATGCATATAAGGCAAAACACAGAGCCTGTTTC